GAAGAGCCAAACGAGGCTAAATAATTGTGAACTAGTCAGCATCAGTACCTAGCTTTTAGAAGGTCTGGTGTTGTTGGTTTGGTGTGTAAAGCCCAATTGAAGTATGTATGTGTACAGCAAGCTAAGTTCTAGTCAGAAGTCACTGCACCAGGATCCCCAAGATGGGACTTAAACCCACAACCCCTGTCCGTAGGCCAGACCCATGAGGCCACTGGGGCCGTATTTCACCTCATTATACACAGAAAAAACAATCGCTGTCATGTTCAATATTTGTCTTGAACCATGAGATACACCGCAGAGAGCACAACTGCAGCTTTACAGTAAAAGCAGAGCAAAGCAAACACTGGACTGTTGACTGCTGTTCAAAGTGCAGCAGCGCTCCAGTAAATCTCACTCTGTCAGGAAACTACAGTCTGCAGTGGCGCTTTCAGGACAGACTGTGTTTGTAAAGTCAGTGTTGTTCCAGATGTTTTAGATGCCAAACTAACTTTTATTGAACTGGAACTTACTGAATGCAGGATGCAGGTTTAATCACATCTCAATAACTAACTCCTCTCTGCAGAGTGTGGATGATTACTAGTAGTCTACATGCAAAACAAGCCGCTTATTGACCAAAACTACGCCCGGTATCCTGCAAATTTTAAATTACAAGCCACAAAAAGCAACAAACGTGTGAAAGTGTAATCCGCTGTTGTCTTGTTAAACATTTTCTTTAAAATATCAGCACAATTCTGGGATTTTTAGGGTTAATAAAAGCAGTGGAAAGGGGTTTAAATATAGTCTTTTGTCTCAAAATGATTGCAATATACAGACTTTTCCATAAAAGATGCGTACCCTGTTGCTAAATCTCTCTTTTTTTGGAACGACAGTGCATGTCACCAAAAGTTTTCACATTTATTTAAGCTAATTAGCGTTTCTGCATAACGTAGCTAGTCAGTGTTTAGTTACCTAGCTTTTGGAAGGTCTGGTGTTGTTAGTTTGTCTTGTACAACATAATGTGTAAAAAGATTTAGTGTTTACGTGGCACAGCAAGCTGAATTATCAGATCATTAAAACTGTAATTTACATACGAGGTTAAAAACATAACTCACAAGAGAGTCAGAAGCTGCTCAGCTAGGTTTGTTAGCATTTAGCAAGTAGGCTTTTCGCTTTATTTAGCTTTTTCCCAACTCGTGTACACCAGAAAACTCGAATGTAAGAGCATAAAACGTACCATGTAAGCTGTAATTTAATATCAGGTTAAAAATTAAATAAAAAAAACAAAACAAAATACACAAGAGCATCAGAAGCAGCTGCTAAATATGAACAGTCAGCTTTTAGCGAGTTCGTTGTTAGCAAGCTACTAAAGTACTACTTTTCCTTCTATAATATAATTTAATAATTCAGCTTTTATTCCTGTTAATTTATACAGTAAAACACCCAGACAGACACTGAATCATCAAAACAGTTATATAAATGCAGCTTAACCACATCAAATCATGTCAGAAGCTAGTCTGCTAAGGTAGGCTAGTTAGCTTTTAGCGCAACAGTTTTTGGCTAGCTAGGGAAGTGCTACTGTTGTTGCTCTTGTTAATGTGGTATCGGGTGATAATTTGGCTTTTTATGGAGGTATCATTGTAGCAAGACTAGTTGTAAATGTGTATGAAGAGTTGTGTGTCTGTATCTCAATCTAGTGAGATTTGTCAATGTGTAAAAACATTTGTAGACAATTAGTCGATGTGTAAAAAGAATCGTCAGTGCGTACGAAGATCTGTAAATGTGTTAAAAGATATTAACAGATGAAAAGTCTAAGCATTTGGCTACAATTGCTGGAAATACAGACAGTAGTTATGCCTCCTGCAAGCCATCAGGTGGCGCTGTCCTCCAGAGTCTTTGAGGAAACACAACATTGTCTGGTTTGTGAACAAGTTAAATTTGCTGAGTTTGTGGGTCGCCGAGCAAAAAATTTTATGATGGCTTGCAGGAGGCATAACTACTGAGGTACAGAGCAGCAGAGCGGTAGCAGCCAGAATGAACAAACCTGTGAGCCTGAGCTCAGGGCAAAGAAACCCTGAAGTTACAGATATGAATCTCTCACAGCAGAATTGAAGCAAAAGTCATGTTTAAAAAAAACACAGAGAATTGTGAGGCCTGCTTGACTTTGTACCTGGTGGTTTGTCTGTGTCGACGAATCTCACTACAGATGTACAGACTGAGATACAGACACACAACTCTACATACATGTTTACAAATAGTTCTTTTACAATCATAACCCCGTAGCTTCTGCCGTGAGAGATTCATATCTGTAACTTCAGGCTCACAGGTTTGTTCATTCTGGCTGCTACCGCTCTGCTGCTCTGCACCTCGGTAGTTATGCCTCCTGCAAGTCATCATGAAAGTTTTTGCTCAATAACCCACAAACTCAGTAAATTTAATTGGTCTGCACTTATCACCCATTCATACACCAGTGGTGACAGAGCTGCCATGCAAGGTGCTGCCTGCCATTGGGAGCAACTTCAGGTTCAGTGTCTTGCCCAAGGACACTTCGACTGTCGAGGGGCGGGGGATCGAACCGCCAACATTGCGATTGGAGGACAATCCACTCTACCACCTGATCCACAATTTACCTTGTTCACAAACCAGACAATGTCGCATTCCCTCAAAGACTCTGGAGGATAGCGCCACCTGATGGCTTGCAGGAGGTACAGAGCAGTAGAGTGGTACGCAGCCAGAATGAACGAGCCTGTGAGCCTGAGCTCAGGGCAAAGAAACCCTGAAGTTACAGATACCAATCTCATGGCAGAAGTGAAGCAAAATTCATGTCTTTAAAAAAACAGACAGTTGTGAGGCTTGACTTGTAACTGGTGATTTGTCTGTATTTCCAGCACTTGTAGCCAAATGCTTAGACTTTTCATCGATTAAGATCTTTGTACGCGATCTCACTACAGACACACAACTCTCCACACATTTACAAATAGTTTCGTTACGATAGCTTTGTTTACTGTTCATTTATGTGGTAAAACAAACTCAGCTTAACCCCATAAAATCACAATACATCCACAAGACTCAGAAGCTAGACTGTTAAGCTAGGCTAGTTAGCTTTTAGCTAGGTAGCTTAGCTTTCTGTAGCATAATTGAATATTTTAGCTTTTGGCTAATTCTGGGCTTTTCAAAAGTTAAGTTTCAAACTGCGGTGGCTTTAAAGGGTTTAAAAATCTCAAAATTGCCAGAAAATATAGATTTTTAAAAAGAAATATGAGCAACTAAACTCTAAATTAAATAGTCTTTTGGAAAGATGGCGCATGTCACCAAAACTTTTCACATTTATTTAATCTAATTACTGCATAGCTTGTTTTTATAGCCTGTTTTTATACTATTTAAAAAGGAATATTTGACAGTGAACCTATCTGCGGCCTACCTGCATCGTGACTATCTGCTCTCACCACTCGTCGTCTTATCTTTTCTTTTAGCAGCTGCATGTAAATGTGTTGCCGGATGTGTTGTGTTTATACTGAAGATGGAAAAAACAGGCATTAATGATTGGGTGGCTGCTGCACCAATCAGATCCCTGCACTGAACTAATCTACCTGTTAACACCTCCACCAGCATCATCGATTGGTTTAAATAAAGAGAAAACAAAAGGAAGGTGCAGGGTCACAAATGTCCAGAATTATTGCTGCACCCTGAATGCAGCATCTGATTTAATTCTGAGGTTTTCCATCAATTATAATTAAAAGCGACACTGCAAACACTCAACTCAGGTGCTTTGTTAGAATTTAAACTTTTTAATACATGTCTTATTGTTCTAATGAGCAGAACATTTATTATTTTACTTAAACTGATGCTTAGAATATTGACAACGAAACACAAAGTCACAGAAAAAAGCATCAGATGTGTAATTTAAGAGGGGCACGTTTTTTTTTTTTACACATTCATTATCTGTCATGTAAAGAAGAATTAAGTGGCTGGCTAGATGACATGAAATTAAATCTGACACAACTTAAAGCTGCTGCTGCTGCTGTTGATAAACCCGTGTGCGTTTAATTACACCACACTGAATGACTGGCGTGATTGCATTACACCTCTCTGGCTTTTGTCCAGAGCGCAAACAATAAGCACATTCAACCTGCGTTAGCAACCAGAGTATAGATGTTACACACGACAAATGGGCACGTTCATCCAAGGGTTTCACTTTCGAACAATTATTCTTTGTCCAGTGCAATAATAATTCAACAGATCTGACAGAAACAGGAGATTCTAACACTTTAAACTCCCCAAAAAAGAGGTAAAACTACAGAGTACTTCACAAATAATCCTTGTGTTTAATCCTTGTGTCAAACTTTTAACTGCAAACAGGATAAGAAACCACCTTCAGCTGGATTTGTGGGGCAGATGATGATTTTAGGAAGTAAAAAGTTGCAATAACAAAAGTTGTAATCAATATATCGACCAGTGTCCTGTTATATTGAGAAGTTAACTTGCTGTGAAGACACCACTTGACTCCGCACCACCATCTGCTCAGCTGTGATCTGTTCTCTGCTACATGTGCTGCAGAGAGTGTTTCATACAGTGGACTCGGTCAAAATATGTGATGACACAAGTTAGGTCATTTTTTGTTATTATTATTTATATACAAACATTTCTTCTTCACTCTGAGGAGATCTGAGACAAAATTAGTTCATTCCGGCATTTGACAGTTTAAATTACTTCAAAGTATTACATTTTGTTAGGTTTTAGATGTTTTTTTGTGCTAAAATTGTCTTTTCATGTCATGACTAACGCCATCTGATAAGTGGAATAAAGGGTTCAATGTCACTTCTCAGTTGTACTTCAGTAAATGTACTTAGTTACTTTCTTCTGCTGAGTTAAGACCAAACTTTCACAATCACACTTTAAAACTAAAACCCTGGACTGAGCAGCCAGTGTGCAGACGGAGGATCATCTGCAGATGTTCCGCAGCTGTTTGCGGGCCTTACCTTCCCCGGTGGCGCACAGATCCTCCCGGTGCAGCCCGCTGACTGGACCCCGCAGCTGCAGCCCGGCTGACACTCCACCATACGGATCTGCTCCGCGGCGCCGAACCGACATCTGGACCCGTTTCTGGACGGGCTTTTGGGCGACTTGGGCGAGAACATGTCGGAGCCGCTGCGGCAGCGTTTGTCCTCTCTGGACCCGACACACTGGGAGGGCAAAAGTCCGCGGCGGGCAGCGGCTCGTTCCGGGAGATAAGAGGAGCGCAGCGCCGGTGCGCACGGCGGCAAAACGTCATGTTGGAGCGCTGAGCTGCGGGGCTGGAGGGCTGCTGGTCCGGGGGGAGTCAAGGAGGGAGGCTGGACGAGACCTCCCACCACATGACCTCTGCACAGAGGGCCCAAAGAGGCGCAAAGGCGCTGCGTAAAAGTGCGCAAAACCTCTCCAACGGCTGTTAGAGTGAACTCAACTCAAGCTTGGTTTAAACTCAGAGAGAATTCAGGAATTTAAAAAGGAAAACAATAAAATATTAAAAGGAAATATGAATAGAAGAGTAAAAAAATAAATAAATAAATAAAACAAATGAAGGGCATCTGGAAAATAACACAAACTTAAAAATCTAACATGAGTCCAGTTTGTGAGTTCTGCAGGTTGTGAATCTGAATTTTCAAGTTCCTCAGAAATGCATTCATTGAGTGTTTGGTAAAGTTGGTCACTGCAGATAAAACCAACCAAATCTGAACATAATTCCCAACAGATCTCCCCAGAATCTGATGATTTTTATGAACACTATCTTCAGTATATGTAATGAAGCCATGTCAGGCTTTACCTTCATACCATGAATATTTTCTGTCACATTTTAAATTTGCGGCTGATAAAATATGTGTAAGGTAGAGATTTATTTTGCCACAGAGTGAATCGTGTCTAGAGGATGATCCTGGTATCAAATGTGGGTAAAATGATCCTTTTATTGTCTATAAGGTGTTCTGACCAGCCACCATCACACTTCTGATATGAGTCTTGAAAGTTTACCCAGAATGACCTTTTTAAAGTTTTTCACAGTAAATTATCAGAAATGAGAAACACATGCAGGGAACCAATAAATGTTTCAATGACTTTGTGTCACAGACATTAAACTGCTGCAGTTTTACTGTTGAAACTATGATATAACCTGTAATAGTGATACTTAAAATGACAGAAAACTGATTTAGTCTTTAGATTGTGACACCTGGAGTTGATGTAAAACTGATCTGGTCGCAGTTTCAAACAGAACTTAACACGTGTTTCAGCCCCAAAGGTTTCACGTGTTTATCTGCTGTACCAGTGAAGTTATGAGGCTAAAAAATGATGGAAAAAGTCATTAAAAGTGTCCTTCTATGTACTTCAATGGCCTGCAGCTTGAACAGTTTTGGACTATTTCCTTACAATTAACATGTAAATTATTTTTTCTGTGATTTTACTAGACATCAACTGTAATATACAGTAGATTATCATCAGCGTAGAGATTTATGTTACATCCAGATACAGAGGAGAAAATATAATGTATGAAAATTGCACCTTGTGAAACTTTTAACATGAACAACTTCTGACTTTACATTTCTGATCACAACACTGCTACATGAAAAAACCTTTTAAAAACCAGCACCCACTGGATCGAATGTCTACGAAAGAGCAATAAAACTGCAGCTGAGTTTGCCAGAAAAAAAGCGTGATCTCTTTAGAAAAATAACTTTTATTCAATCCAAATAAATCCAAGTACATAAAGACAAAAAGACCCCCCTCATCCTCTTTATTAACAAGAGACTTCAGTCAAAACTGTTGAAATAAGAGCCAGTTTGCTGTTCTCTCTCTCTGTGTGTTGGAGATCAACAAAAACAACATAAAAATCCTGCTAAACATCAAACCAGTGTCAGATTTTTAGCACACAAACTGACTCTTGAGCACATATTTACAAAAACTTTTTATTGAGGGAACTCAATAAATTATGCAACAACAGTGAAAGTGTGTTTGTGGGGGGGAGGAGGTGGCATCAAAGCAAACAAAGGGGGCACTAAAAAGGATCAATGTAAGAAACAGGATGTGATTTTACTCTGTGTACGAAGCCATATAAAACGGGCACACTGCAAAAAAAAAAAAATCCAAATTTGGTCATTTTTGTCGATGAATCTGAACTTATTTTTCTTAAAACAAGCGATAAAGATGTTTAAATCCCTCTCGTCTCTGTGGTGTTATTTCAATGAATGCATAGAAACTAGAAGGCACACAGAGGAATATCATTTTATACATTCATCTACATCATTGGGGCAATATGTTTTAACAATTGTTGTGGCTCAAAACTTTATCCAAACAAAGAAATTCCAGTTTTTGTTGGATAAAAATGTGGGAATTCATTGTTGTTGTTTTTTTCATTTTGAGAAAAAAAAAAACGGAATAATTGGACCACATGTGAGGCTAAATGTTCAACGTTTTTTAACAGCTCTATGGGATGAGGGAAGCAACAGAAACCTAGGAGCCTTCAGTCCGAACTGCGCTCAGCGTTGTCGATCCCAACGCCAGATGGAGGCGTCGTCGCACACCGCGATCAGAATGCTGCTGTCGCGGCTGAAGCTGGTTTGCCGGATCGCCGACGTGCATTTGGGGAGGGTCAGCGTGGTGCACCTGAAGAAAAAAAAGCAGAGCGAGCCGGTGATAATTATATAAATAACCGAACAGTTATTCTTTAAACTCGTTAAGCTGTTGGTTGATGATGTTATTGGATCAACTTTGTCCACAAAACTGTCAAGTTTTTGTGTCTGAGCACTCAAAATGCTGCAAATCCACACAGTTCAGAAGCTAAAACCACCAACTTGTGAGTGCTTTAGAGTTTTTAGTAACTTACACAGTTCATCGATGGAACACAAAGATCTGGAAACGCTAAAAACTTAAAATCCCAGCCTCCTGCCTCACTCCTCCATCACAAAAAGTGAAACTGTTGAGCGTTTTATCTGCGTTTGCTTCTCAGTGGATGCTTTTTCTCCTGCTTTGATGCCAAACTGGTATTAAACATTCACAAAATCCAGGTTTTTGTCCCTAAATAAAGGTGTCAAACTGGAATTAATCAGCAGAATCACCACAAATAAACTGATGAGATGATGAGGGAAGAAAAACACCTGAAATAAAATTGTGTTCTTTGGAGTCTTATATTTAATACATCAAATATTTCCCAGCAAAAAGCTAAAACAGACTCAACAAGTGATCAGTAAATCCATTTTCAGAATTATTTTTGGAGAAAAAATGCAACAGGAGCAAAAAAACGCCCAAAAGAAAAAATAATTGCCAATAAATGGGGAAATAAACCGGAAGTTCCGGGAATAAAAAAGGGGGTTGACAGGAATAAAAAACCTCCAACGAACAAAAAAAATAAGTAAAACTATTGTTAATGTAAATGGCAGAAATAAAAAATATCTAAGCTTGGACCAACATCCAAACCAGCCGGACACATCGGAGTGGGTTATTTCTGTCCTCGGTGTGGATTCAAGTCTGGTTGATCTGTTTACTGCTGCTCTCCACTTACTTTGCTTTATGTGGATCTTCCACCTCTAGGTCCCAGACGTAGAGTTTCCCCACCTGGTTCCCCAGAGCCAGCATCTGTGGAGCAGCATCGCAGCAGAAACACGTCACCAACAGACATCCGTGTGTTGTGTTATCTCGCCAAAATAAAGGCATTAAATACCAGCTTAAACTAATGAAGTCTCTGACCTTCTGCCAGAAGTCCATGGAGAAGCGCATGTACCAGATGTCACACTGGCTGTAATCGAAGCGGCCCAGGATCGTCACATTCGACTCGTTAGGTTTGATGTGATCGATGTCGTCCTCCATCTTCCCTGGTTTCCAGCAGACGATGGCGTTTTCACAAGACTGCAGCAACAAAAAGCAGCAAAGAGGTTTTTTTTCAGTCTGCGTGGTTCCTTTGTTGTGCATTTAATGAAGCAAAACTACATTTTAAATCCATTTCATGAGACTTTTTGGATAAACTGACAGATTCAGTTTGGAATTTTGAATCTAAGCACCAAAAATACATATTTCAGTACGTATAATTAATCGCAAATTAAGTTTTAAATCTTTCTGTCACTTGCCTTAGAGAGAATGAGGTCTCCGAGCCACCGCACACAGTCCACGTAGTTTCTGTGGATGTCTCGTGTGGAGAAGTCGGGGAAGTGAATTTTCTGTGAGACGAAAGGCCTGAAGAACAGAAGGTTTTATTCGTGAAGCCGTTGTAGTGAAATGACAAAACATTAAAATAAGCCCAGTGGGAACATGAGTGAGTGTTTCACCTGTTAGTCTTGGACGGGTTGTACTCGTAAGACCCACGGATGGCTTTCTGCATCCTCTCTGAATTGATTCTCCAAAGCTTTAGCGAGTGGTCCATCCCACACGACATAATCTTCTCACCCAGCAGGTCGAAATCCTGCAGGAGGGAAATAAAGAACACCTGCTGGTTTGATCTTTTTATCACCAGTTTTTTGTTGCCGTGTCTCCCGATGAAGTAGTTTCATTAAAGGGTTTAATGTAAAGGACAGTTCTGGTTTATTTCAACCTGCTGTTTCTGTTTTCATGTCTCAATGGGTCGTTTCACCTCCACCAAACTGAAATAAACCCGCCATGAAGCTCGAGACGGTCCAAGAAGTGATCCATGTCGTATGTTGCTGCAAAATCCAATGAAAAAACGTCTTATTTTACGGCGTAGTCCTCGTCTCAGGAACTGAATCGAGCTCAACGGTCACAGGCTCAACACTGAATTAACATGTTTTATTCAAGCGTGCCAGGTTTTATCAGGAGAATTATTCTTTTTATTTAGTTATTCAGTAATATCTGACTTATTCACGTGCAGTATTACTTCACTACTTCATATCACTGCCAGTATTACGTCTCACTTTTCTGTTCCAGCCTTATTTGAGCTACTTCCATTATAATCCACTGATGTGTTCTATTTATATCTCACTGCGTTTCTATCAGGCACTGCATTTATTCTGTTTTTCTGAGCAATATCTGGCAACATGTCCTTCGGGATGAATGAAGCTCCATCTTATTTTACACTAATACTTATGATTTTTTAAAAAAGAGCTGAACACTTGTGGTTACAGCCCATGGTGCAGGATCTGTGGACTGGTGATCACTGTGTGGGAAGTCGGCCGGTGAAGACGGCGCTCCAGAACCACACCTGCCAGACATCAGCGATGATTAACTTGGAGCTCCTGACCTACTTTCAGCCTTTCCCGCCTCCAGTTACACCTGATAGGACCAGCACCACTCCTCCTCCACCTCAGCAATCACCACACCTGGCTATAAAACCAACCTTTCAGTCGGGGCTGGCTGGGATTCAGAGTGAACACTGTGGTGCCTCTCGCTCTGTGTCTTTAGTGTTTGTGGACATGTAACGTCTGTTGGCAGCTGTTAACTCGCTGTGGGAGTCTTAGTAGAGACCATGACTCCCGTTAGCAGCTGCACAACTTGGTGAAGAAGTTTCTCGTGTCTTGTGTGTTTTGAGGCACCAGTTTGTTTTAGGTTCTCTTGTTATGTGTGGACGTTGCTTTCAGCTTTAATTGTGACTAAGGAGTTTAGTTTTCTTTTCGCCAGCATTCGTCACTCCGTTAGCCTTCGTTTGGTTCTTTTGATTTGAAGCAACATCCACCCTCTTCTTCTGCATTGTCACCGTTCTGTTATGTTCATTTACTGAGCAATAAACTACCAGAACCATTTCCATCTGGTTACATCCAGCTGACCCTAGAGGCTAACACTTGTCTTAATGGTGATAATATATATTTTAAAATGCACCATTTTAGTGTTAGCATGACACAGCAGCTAACAATCGCTCCATCATTAAACCGGAGCAACAAGACAAAACAAGTGACGGCTAATGGTGAGCGTTTAGATGCACATGTTGAAGAAAAATTTGATTTTTCTGAGCCTATCTGTGGCCGAGTTATTAATCAAACGAGCCACATTTATGTTAAAAACACCACACTGAATAGAAATCTGAACTATCCTGTAACTCTTTCTGCCATAAACATTCTCCTGTAAGCCTCAAAAGACGTGTTCATGTGTTTTTTTATTTATGGGGCGTAATTTAAGGAAACTCACGGCGCTCAGGACTTCATCTCGATGACCTTCCACTCCTCCAAATATGGCCACCAAAGTGTCCGTCTGAATGTTCCACAGTCGCAGGGCGTGATCTGAGGAAACAACCATGACATTTTATTTCCCTGCAGCGAAGGAAACATCACGTATTGCTGGACGGATTATTGCAGAACCCTCCGATTCGTTCTGTTGCTGCTTGTACGTTCTAATTCATTCCCCAGTTGCACTGATAAAAGTACAAACGTGAGAAAGCTCTTCAGCGAGGTGCAAACGCGGTGTCTGAATTTAAAAACCCAAAATGACCAAGAAAACAATCCCCCGATGAAATGAAAGATTAAACTTGGCCGCCGTTCACATGACCCTTATCAGAGGAGCAACCGCTGCCGTCTGCTTTATCTCAGATTAAGGAACCACCTGACAATCACATGGTAATAAAAACCTGAACCGTCCCTCCTCTGACCTCCTGTGACCTACTTCTGCGGCAACAAACCCTGGATGAGATTCGTTTTAGTGTCGAGATAAGGTCGGCAATAAGAAAACGTGCTGCTGTATTCACCCTATCAGAGATGACGTGACAGGCTCTTCCTCTTTCTGGCTTTTCTGTGTCAAAAGTTAAGTGCAAAACAATCCCTTTATGAGTTTGATTTTACCTTTGCTGACAGACAGGAGGAGATTCGGATCCCTCGGGTGAAACTTGAGCTCGTTGATGGCGTTCCCGTGACCGACGTAATGCTGGACAGGAAGAAAAAAATGAGAGATTTAATCATTCTGTGCAGCAGAAGTACAACCAGAAGGATTGAACTTTGCAGGGAATCAGTTTTACTCAGTAGATTTGAATCAGACAGTTATTAAAATGCATTTTTTCACTACTTACGAGTGCCGAGTTCATTCATTCAGCCTTTAATTAAAGCATTTCCTGGATGACTGAACTTTTTTACAGCATATGTGGTTTATAGAAACGACGACCACAATGAAGTGCAGAAGAATGACTTTAATTTTTTACACATTTTAAGTGAAGCTGCAACAATTCAGCAATTAGTTCTCAACTATTAAATAAATTCTGTGATTTCAGATTCTTCAATGTGAGTATTTTCTCGTTTCTTTCCTCCTACTGTCTTTGGAGAAAACAACAACTTAATCACCACTTCAGAGGATCCACAGATTAATTACCAACGACAAAGATCGTCCGTTGCAGCCTGAGTGACGACGGACGGCTTACCTTGATGCACTGCATTGTGATGTGGTTGATCACTCGGATGATGCCTCGGGACCCGGCGACGGCCAGCAGGGGATGGCTGGTGTTGGTGTCGTAGGTCCAGGCGCACGTGTAGAAGTTCTCGTCTGCCTTTTTTTACGTTTAGTTAAAGAAATCAAACTCAGAAGTCTCCTTTTGGTTGTTCCTGTCGTATGTTTACTCACTGTGGGCTCGTTTTTCACTGCAATATAAAGTCCTGCAGCTCTGTGGAAACAGAGCGACCAGGAAGAAGGAGAGAGAAACGTGCAGGATGACAGTGAGTGATGACAGAAATCAGAAAATAAAATAAAAAGTTGAATTTCTTTCAAATTTATTTAACAAATTTGGGGGGGAAAATGAATTAAAAACATATCACGAAAACAAATATCATGGTTTTCGGCTTAAACTTAGGTGCTTTTACTGATCAGTTACACATTTAAAGCTAAAAATCCAATAATTATATCCATTTAAACAGTTTCCTGCTCTGATAAATGATATAAATTAGACGATTTTAAAATACCTTTTAAACCTCCCAGCAGATTTTGAGGTTTGGAAGTTTAAACTAATATTTCCCTCCTTTCCTGCAATACACTGCTTTATTTATTTATTCTTTTACAGTTGCTTTCTGTTTACCAGCAGCTCAGCTAAGCCAACTACGACTGTTGGAGTCTCCTCAGGGGCTGATAAGGGAAAGAGTTCATGTTTTCACGTCAGTAATCCTAACCTGCAAAGACACTCACGTCTCAGCTGCCCTCGATTGTACTTCAGTGCTCATCTGTTGCTGCAGGGCTCGAACGATTCCCAGAAACAAGACGGTGCAAACGTTTTAACTTTGACCTGATCTTAATCCTCCCTGTTCGGGTTTAGCTGAGGTGAAGAGGAATGGAATACTTCTCGGCTGGTCTCCTGTCATCGAAGTTATCAGATATTCAGAAGCAGAGCGGCACGGCTTGTTTTGTGGAATGAAAACTGAAAATGACACCAAGACAGAAGCTGGTTGAAAAGGTAATTCAAAGCAGGTGAAAGGATACATCGGCATCGACGTAAGACTGCAAGAGTCGGATTTCTCCCTGAGAGTGACATTCATACAGAGTTACCTGTTGACGGAAACCGTTAGATGAGGATCAATAAACAGAAGATGTTAAGTTCCAGAAACAAAAGGTTAGACACGTCGCTGCAAAATTAAGGACTACTTCAGACAAAAGTGTCTCACATCTTGTGTGGATTAATCGATGAATCAACAGCAAAAGTAAATGTCAGCTGCAGCTCCAATTCCTAATATTAACATGAATAAATCATTTAACACAACCTGAACCTGGACAAGCAGCAGGAAATGAACTAATGGAAGGATTAACTCATTAAAAATTCATAACTAAGATGTCTGGTGTCTGAAAACACTGGACCTTGCTGATGTTTTGCAGACCCACAACATTACTTTGGCAACATGGACAATAAATATATAAAAGTGGAGGTTTGAATATCGACATCATCAACAGGAATATTTACGTACCCTGTTACTCCCGACTGTAGCAAATACCAGCGGGTCTCCCTCCTTGCTGTGCCAATTAAACTGGACTCCAAACAGCGGCTGGCCGTGGTCCTCCTAAGATATATACAATTTATAATAGAATAATTAAAAACTATGACTTTTAAGGAGCTTTGACAGATAAAAGTTAAAGCAGAATGCAACAAAAACAAGTAAGATACAAAAACACACAACGACAAAACAAATAAATCCAAAAACAATGAAACCTCAATGAGAAACAAAAGCTTGAAGGTAATAAACACAAATCTGGATGGTGGTGCTGATGACCATTTATGCTCATATTAGGTTGTTTATTTAGTTTTATCAGTAGAACAGATAAAACCTGGACTCGCCGCTCAGGGACGTGGATTTACTCACCCTCAGGCTGTTGACACATTTGAAAGAATATCTGCACTTCTTGGACTTCCACTTGCCCTTGCCCCAGCTCTTCCTGCCCGGGGCGTTGGCGGTGTTGGTGGGTGTGTCTGGGCGCTCTGCATTGGTCCCGCTCTCAACGCTGACCGCATCGTCCTACAAATACGACAAGACAGGATTTATTTTCTGCAAGATCCTCTCTGAAGACTCATAACTTCTTCACGGTTTCTGGCTGGAGCTGCTATAACACGATAACACATCTATACAAAGCTGCTTCTGCTCCTTTTAGTGACTTTATTGCGGAGTTTAAGCTCAATATATTTACCCAAAACATGCTGCTGCTGCTGCTTTCACATTATAGACTTTAAAATTAAGGGCAACAGCTTTGGTCGCAGACAGCCCAGATATGACAGGTGATTCAATGAAACTCTGATGTCTAAGTTTCAGTGAATGCAGCATTAAATGACCAACATTTGTCTGTGTGGTCTGTCCATGAACATCTCAGAGAGTAAAAAAGTGAAAACAGCTGCTAAAGTTGAGCATGTTGCTTCCAGCTGTTCAGGATCATTACCTCTGACTTTATTAACTAGCCGCAGCATCAGGATTCATACGAGCGTCTCCAGAGAGAGACAAAACAACAATAACTTTGTTAATTACAGAATCAGCCAGGATCGAGCAGTAAATAAAGCTGCAAACTGTTCTTCAGCTCAGACAAAGTCACAGCTGCAGGGAAATCCTGTGTCACATGATTAAATCCTGAGCTCAATCACAGCTGGATGTTATTTTATTGTAAAAATATAAATATTTTAATGTTGTTTATTCTGTTTTTTTCGTAGCTGGGACATGGATGGTCAAATGGATGCAATATAAAACGTGACCTCTCAGATTAAACCAAAATACAACAAAAAAAACAGTCAAATAACAATGAAAGCACAATAGCTTGTATTCTCACGTTTCTAGTTTTATTTTTAGCGTATTTATTTCGATTTCCACTAATGTATTTACCTTTTATCTTACTGTCATTTTGAATGTCTTTGCATTTACCCTGATATTATTGTCATTTTTGCAGAATCTGGCACAAGAATTTCCTTCAGGATTAACAAAGATTTCCAGTGACACTGTTCTGGCCACCCTGTTAACACTGCCTGTAGACACCACTACAACTCTGAAGCATTTTATTCTAGCACACGTTTAACCTCAAAGTTTGAGGTAAACAGAATAAGCTGGAGACAAAGATGGCTATGACTTGGCTTCCATGCTAACAAGAGGAAGACATCTTTCATTAACCACAGTTTACATGTCTGTCAAGCTAATGACACTCCCTGTAACCTTAATTCACCAGCTCAGTTAACTATAACTGACATTTCAAGTACCAGTAGCCCTTATTATTAGCTGCTACTGCTACAGCTAGCTTAAGTTTTCACGTGATTGACTGCAGTCTGAGAGCAAATAAAACAGCATTTGTGTGTGCAAATAAAACGTAACATATGCAGCCCTCTGTGTAGTATATTTTAGAGATAACAAACTGGTTTATAGCTGGTACCACCATAGTTCCAGCTGTTTGAGTCCAGCCGGTGTGGAGGGACAAAGCTGCTAGCTAACAGCTTTAGCCGCTCGGCTACTTTAGCTCGAAGCTAACTCGCCGGAATCGCAGTTTGAGCAATTTATCGTGGAACAAACGACTCGGTTCGGCTGCTTACATTCTCGTCTCCTGATAAATCGGGATTACTGTTCTCGTCACTGCTCAGTTTCTGTTTTTTCGCCGGTATTTCTTTTCCCGCTTGAGACGGGGACTCGGACATGTTCTTATTTTCCCTCATTTTGGATCAGACTCCGCCTCTTCCGCTCCGCCGCCGCAAGTGCTGCCGGGAGTTTGAGTTTCTACAGACTTTGGCCTTAAACTGGAAAAATACCAAACATTTACATGTTAATTAAGTCTAAATTATATCAGATTACTTCTGTGTTAAACAGTAGGATATTTGCACTAATATGATAATTTAAAACTAACACATTAGATTCACTATATTAAAAATTCAAGCCCTGCAATAGGAACTCAACACATCAGTGCTGAAGGGATTGTGTTGCTCTTTCTCTTTAAAACAACCCAAATGTGTTCTTTTGTGTTCAAGTCAGGCCACATACTTGTCCAGGCTGCAATTTTCTCTACTTTAGAGACTTTTCATTGCTTTGGATGGTTTTAAAGCTGGAATATTCAAGCTTCTGCAGACCAGGTATAGTGTTATCAGCCAGTATTTTGGTTTATTTCCAGACATTCATCTATAAATGTCATCTCACCTTTTGGAATCATGCAGCCTCGTATCATCACCACCTTCATGCTTCACTGTCAGGACTCTGCATTCACCGAGGAGGTCCTGGTCCTAGCCCTGCTGGACTCTATCTGAGCTCCAAACATTCATCAGGTTTCATGTTCTTATCAAAGTTTTATCTGGATTTTTTGTGTTAAAACGCCATGATGCATACATGCAAATAGACACGGCCCACAGGTCCAAAACTGTAGAAGTTCTGCTGTTCACAGCTCACTTGAGAACCATGTTCATGCATTCAGGTCAATGAAAAAAACAGAGTTTAGTTTCAGTGCTCAGAGGTGGATTCACTTTTGCTGTATTAACTTTTGGGCCTAATTGTTTACTATTGTGTTCTTAAAAGTGTTTGCTTTTGATTGTTCATGAGAGAAAATACTTGACTGCTCATCTTAGAAAAATTATGATAGCTGGGAGGTGATTCAATTTAGCTTGTAGCTTTGTGTCATGTTTCTTTTATTAGATTTTTATATTTTAACGATGATTGCAAAACTAAATATTAAAACTTGAAGTAGAACAATGATGATGATGATAGATTTCTGTCCCATTTGGAAAAGTATTAAAGGTGCAAATGTTAAGAAACAGTATCTCCTGTGTTGACTTCATTTATCAGCTTGTTCAGCTCTCTGCCGGCTGAATGTGGTTCTACATGCTGGCAGCTCCGTGAGGACATTTAACCAAACTGCAAACAGAAAGCCAAGAACATTTACACATGAATTTAATTAAAAAAAACAGTTTACAATCATAAAGTACACAAATCTGTTTACAGTCCAATGTTTGCAGTGATGTCGGCCTTGTTGTTCAGGACTACAGCATCATCTCTGCATCCTCCAAAGAGGCTTCGCTCATCTCCTCAGACTGCTCTTCATCCTCCTCCTCGTCCTCCTGCTGCTCCTCCTCAGCTGGCCTCTTCACACCTCTCTGCTTGGACAGAGCCGCCGCATAGCGAATGTTGTACATGTTGAAGTCGCAGCTGTGCAGAGAAAACACAATCAGAGATCTGAATTTGGGTGCAAGGAGAGCAATCGATTTCAAATCTCAGTTTAAAACAATGTAATTAACAAACGGCAAAGGCTGCAGTTTAGTGTGTAAGTTACACAAAATGACTGAAACTTAAATGCAGAATGTGCAAAATGTAGCTGCTGCTCCTGAGCCATTGATCTGTTGCAACACTGTTCACAGAATGTTGCCTTTATGTTCTTATTATTTTAATTTTAATTATCATTACTTTTTTTTACTTTTTTTTTAAACTTGACACAATTATGCTCATTTTAAAAATGTCATAAATACACCTTGGAAGCAATTTAAATCTTAACCTCATATTCTTGCACTAGAAGATAGAGCAGCTCCATCACGTTTTAAATCTGAATATATATTGAACTGGAGCATAAAAAAACATCACAGTAAAAGCACAATTAGACTTTTTCTTTTGCCCCATTTTGGATTTTGGGGCTCAGAAGACATCCAAGGAACAGAAACTGCATAACTTCGGTGTATTTTTGTGATTATTAACCCTGTTGAGTTTGAGACTGTTAAACGCTGAGACTTACAGTTTGGACAGACTGTCGAAGTGTCTCTGGATGCTCTTCTGCAGCGCCTGCAGCGTGGGCAGGATGGCTCCCGACCTGATCGCCAAAGGACATCAAGTACAGTCAGAGAGGATGTATTAAAATGTTAGTTTTACATCCAGTAAACACCAAAGAAATGCTGTTTGTTTTGCTCTACTTTTAATCCCCTGAACTTCCAAACTCATCAATTGGGAAGTCTTGCTAAAACGTCAAAACGACACGATTACCAGCCAGAAACTCCACAGAGCAGAGAGGAGGCAAGTAGGAAAACAAATTCATAATGTAAGTAGCTAAATATCTTTACTATTTATTATAGAGCCACTGTTTATCCACTGATGGTAACACCTGCAGGCACTCGGAAAAATGTTGTACATGTTGATTCCATTTCCTGTCCAATTTTTATTAATTAAGAAATTCAAATCCTGCTTTTTCTTTTTGATGATTTCTGTCAGTCTAACTGTGTCATCCTGCACAGTTCTTGCTACTTCTAGTCCTGGTTGTTCTGTTTCCATAGAGGTGCATGACTTTATATTTGCAGTGAAAAATGAGCCCACAGTGAGTAAAAACATGACAGGAACAAGAGTTCAGAGGACCAGCTGATGTAGAATTGTGTTATAATTTAAAACGAGCTCATGAAACCAGTCGTCCTGACCTGTTCTTCAGCTTCTGTCCGTGCAGCATGAGCAGATTTTGCGCCCACGTCATGTAGAACTGCAAATGACCCGACTTCTCCAGACAGGCGGCCACGAAGCCCAGCAGCTTCTCCACGTAAATGTCGGGCAGAGAGCTGCAGACCACCGGGACTGAACAGCAAAACACACGTCACTCGGCCGCTTTCAGATTTATTAAAAGGTGACAAACGGTTTCATTTGAAACTGACTCACTCTGCTCATGCGGCACCGTTTCCAGCACCTCCTGCTTCAGGGCTTTTTCGTTGAGCCTGAACGCCAGGACTATGGCCGACGCCCAGTCCTGGAGGCGCAGCTGCTTCCTGATGCTCGCCGGCGTCACGTCCAGGTCGAGGTCGTAGGGGTCGAAGACAAGGGATCCGTCCAGGGAGTAAACCAGCAGGCCCTCGGTGGTGGTGGCCGCCCAGCTGCGACCTGGCAGCAGACAGAAGCACGTAGGATGCTTATTCACATGTTTAAAGACGATTAGTTTTATAATTATGAACGTTTTTATCTTATTTCTCACATTAACGCACAGCTTTCTGCAAATCTCAAGTTGTTTATGTACATTTGCACATTTCTGCACATTGTAAATATTTATTTCTTCTTACTTAAAATCACTTTCTTTTTACCCTCTTAAAAATATCCCCACATGTCCGTGTTCACTGTAATGCACCAGATCAAACTTCTTTTATGTGAAAACCTACTTGGCAACAAAACTGATTCAGATTTTTGCTCACAAACTTTGGAAACGTCAAAACCTCAGCAGAACCAAATGCTACTTTCTCAGCTGTGTCACTTACCGGTAGGAGAGAATCGCAGCGAGCTGACTCTGATCTCCGGCTTGAAGTGACGAGAACTCATGTCACCTTTAAGAAAGAGAAAAAAACTGCAGGTTAGTCGAGCAAAAACATCAGGGAGTCAGAAAAAATGACCCACAGATATCAAACAACAACACGAGCAACTTCAGTTACTGGTTTGTTGAAAATAAACACAAACAAACTCACATAATGTTTGAATAAATGGGCTAAAATCACCAAAAATATTCATTCAAAAGGCCTTATTTCACTTACAAATCAACATACTGTGGTAATATACATGTGCAGCCATCATTCTCCATCACTTGTGCATCTTTCCTTCACATCTGGTGGCATATATTTGGTATAATACGTCTTGTGGTTCAGGCTGTTAACTGGTGGAGTGTTTGGGTGACGGTCGTACCTTTCCTGACTCCGGGGAGGCTGATGTTGACTCCGTCTCCGTCTCCGGCTCCGTCGTCCACCAGAGCCAAGCTGCCGAACTCCGTCATCTTCCGTCTGTCCAGGAACTCCTGAAGGTGAAGCGAGAGGGAGAATCTCGATAAAGACAACCTGCCTTTGACTCAGAGGAGGATTTTCTCTGATACACGTGACTCCAATATCTTCTCGTAATTGTGTTTTACTTTGTTCTGTATCTCTACCAGCAGCTACATGAGCAGTTTCAGCGCTGGGTGAGCGCTCGTACCTCCATGGCATCAAACGACAGGTTGCAGGAGATCTCAAACTTCTTCATCAGCATCTGCTCCTTCACGTTGTAGATGCAGACGAACTTGGACTGTCCTCCCGCTAAGATGGACTCACCGTCCGCGGAGTAGCACAGCGACGTGAAAGACCTGAAAGAGAAAGCGCCTCAGTCGAAACTCCTCAAGCGAAACGCGCTGATTTAAACCAAGTGGAAACAAACAAACAGAGGCGTCCTCCTGGTCACTCACTTGCCCTTGGCCGTCTGCTTGGCGGTGACTTTGTCCGTCTCTTTGCGGCCCATCTCCAGGTCGTGGCGTCCGGCCACGGAGCCGGTTTGTGCCGCCGTGTGAGGGTTCCAGAAAGAGATCTCACCGTTCAGAGTGGCCACGGCCAACTCCTGACCGTCAGGACGGTACGACACCGACAAGCCTGAGGAGCGAAACACACAGACGCAGTGAGATCGGCAGGAGTTTAAACACTCTGATGGGGTTTTTAACTAATGCTTGTTTTGACTGCATTCTTTAAAAATAAAATGTTTAAACCTCTGAACCCTAAAACCCAGCATCAAGTATTTCTTCCTTTAAAAAAAATCAAAATGGCACCTTTTATCAGAGCCTCAAAATGGTAAAAACAGAGATAATCCTTTGATTCTGACCTCTCAGAACTGTGACGTGTGGTTCTGTCATGAAAATTTACCAAATCTAAGCTTCAAATTGTGATATTTCATTAAACCTCTTTATTCTAGGGCACCCCTATAGCTCACCTAGTTGAGCGGGCGACCCATGAACGGGGTTATCGAGTTGTTGGTTCGACTCCCACTCACGACCTTTTGCTGCAAGTCTCTTCCCACTCTTCTCCCCCCTTTCCTGTCTATCTGCTCTAAATAAAGGCAAAAAAGCCCAAAAAACAAATAATAATTTTTAAAAAAATGTCTTTATTCTACATGTCTTATTTCAAAACTTTCCAAAACTAAAGCATTTACTCCAACCAGAATGTGTAAAAACCTGAACATTGTGCGTTTCCCAGCACAACTGTGAAGCCATCACTAACGCAGCACAGATCAGCAGTCAAGTAATAAAAATGTTGGGACTTTTCAGCTGAACTCCCGGATGTGTTTACACAGAGCAGACAGAAAACAAACATGGAAATCATAAAATATCTACAGTATGTGGAGCCATGAGGTTTTTCTCCACTACTTGATTCCATTTTTTTTTTCTAATTACTGCAAAATAAATAATCAACAAAATTCCAACTTTTTTTTTGTTTTTTCATGTTTTCTGTCGTTCTAACTGTGTCATGCTGCTCAGAAGACATTCCTGAGTTATCTCTCCTTCTATCCACGGTTGTTCTGTTTCCACAGAGGTGCAGGACTTTATATTGTTGTGAAAAATGAGCCACAGTGAGTGAAAATGACTCGAATGTAGAATTCTGCTGCCTCCTGCTGGCAGCATCAAAAACAGCCACAGTAACAGATGACAGTGAAATCAAGTTTTTACCATCGGATGTGAGGGGAAGAGTCTCTTTGACCTGCCAGCTGTCCAACATGTCCCACAGTCGAACGGTTCGGTCCCACGACACGCTGGCCAGGATGGACTGAACCGGACTGAAACACAAGCAGCTGACTGGACCCTCATGACCGCCCAGAACCTGCCGATCACAGAGAGGAACCAGCAGACGGACAGTCAGGCCGAGGCAACTCAGAAACCAGCGATTATGTTGCTGCAACGTCTCAGATTTAAAATAAAGTTATTTGAAAAAAGTTTTCGTTTCCTACCAATGAGTCCACGTCACCATTTTGCCAAATTATCAAAAAATCTGAACCTTGTCTTGTCGTATTTTCCACAGATCAACTTCTACTGATGTTAGAGGCCTTAAAAAAGTTGGTGAAATGTCAGCTAAAGACTATCAGGAACTTTCTGGGTCCCACATTTAAACATGTTGCATTTTCTCCCACCCTGGTTTAAAAGATTTTGCACATATGTCCATTTTCAAGGGTCAGTAATAAAACAAGTAAAGCCAAAAAAAAGAAAACATCTTGACCAGAAAGGGTTTCATATCTCCAGAAGCTGGGAAATCTGGTGGGGACAGAGACAGAATAGTTTCCAGCAGATCCAAATGGCTCCAGCAGAGGATGCATTTTTTTATTGTTGGTCGTTGAAAATGGATAAAAGTCCAACATTTTCACGTAAGGCTGGATGTGGGGACCGAGAAAGTTCCTATTCTGACAAAGTGCTGACTCATTGGTAGGAGCACAAAAATCGGTGTGCATCCAAGTCTTTTTATTGTCATTACATGTGCAAAGTTACAAGCTGCTTCCACGTTGTCTTCATGTTGGAATGTACCAACACATGAGACCAAAGAGCGAATGTCATGGAGATAATGAACCATTAAAATGACTTCTTCGGTATTATTTGAGGGCAAAATAAAAAAATTCCCAGGTCTGAAAACATACGAAATTCTTAAAATGTTGCCAAAATAATTCACTAGATTTAACAAATACATAAACTCTGACTAAAATCTGAGACTTTGCAGCAACACAGCAATCTGAAACGACACCGACTGACCCTTGTGGCACCAAGTTAAATGTCAATATCAGTAATTAGCTTCTTGAGGCATAATGAAAGCATGTATAACGGTGAATAAGCACCCACCTCCAGCAGCCTGCCGGTCTGCATGGACCAGAGGAAGATCTCAAAGGAGTCCTGAGCTCCAGCGCTCACCAGCTCTCCACTGACGTCTACTGCGAGGGAGGAGAACTGCGCGGGCCGAGGCGACGTGAACGTCCTGAAGTTTCGATACCTGCAAGTTCAAACACCATCGTATCCGTTTGTGCTCAGCGGGGGTCTGTGTCCGATTAAAAACGTACAAATCGATAAGGCAGAAGAAGAAGGTAATGCATGTCAGAAACCGTGTTGCAGATTAGCTGTAGTACCTGGTTGTTCCACCAGGAGGAGCCTCTTACTGTTTTTACTGTAGCGATCAGAGGAGGCGTCACTTTGACTATGTTGCTCATGTTGTCAGCCAGAGAGCTTTGTAGGGGTTCAGCTAACAATGGGAACCACGACAAAAACTCTGTGGTGGTGAATGACTTCTGATTTCACACCTAAATAATTAAGCTACCAATGTTTGCCATGCCCTTGTTGGAAAGTAGACTTATTATCACTTAGGCAACTGTTTTTAATTCTTACGAGGACTATTTGATTGTTGATTGACAACTGAGCAGAGTACACTGTCAGCTCACCTGTGCAGGTCGAACGCTCGGACCGTCCCGTCCAGAGAGGCGCTGACGATGACGAAGCCGCTGGAGGTGAAGGTGACGTTGGTGACACTGCTGGTGTGTTCGGTGAAGGTGACGAAACAAAGGCCGCTGTTGGTGTTCCACACTTTAACCTGCAGGAAATTAAACAACAGCTTTACTTCTGATTAATCCATCCATTATCTAATTAATCCTCACTAGGGTCATGGGGGGCTGGAGTCTATCCCAGCTGACTCAGGGTGAAGACAGAGGACACCCTGGACAGGTCACCAGTCTATCACAGGGCTGCACTTAGAGACAGACAACCAAGCACACTCACATTCGAGGAGAACATGTAAACTCCACACAGAAAGATCCCAGGTGTCCTCAATAGTATGCGAACCGGCGACCTTGTAACTGCGAGGCAACAGTGCTAACCACTGAACCACCCTGCAGCCCCCTGATTAATCCAATCAATGCAAGTTGTTCAAGCCCAAGATATTATTACTCAACGCCGACTTCCACACCTGCCCACCAAACACTCACCTTCCCGTCGTCCCCTCCTGTCACGATGTGCTGTCCGTCCGGAGAGTAAGCCAGCGACGCCATGTTGTTGAAGTGTCCCTGCTGTTTAAAGACGTACGACTCGCTCTGCCACTCCCACACCAGCAGCTGACCCATCCCTGAAACAAACCCTGCAATCAGCGCACACTTTTTACTCAACTGCATTATCACAAAGAAGTAAGAAACCCTTACGAGAGCATCCGAAGCCGATCCAGTCTCCAGAGCAGTTCACAGCCACTGACGCGATCCTCTGGTCTGAAATGCTGCAGGAGGAACAAAAAAAACTGAAAACAATCCCATCGTTTGTCCTAAAAGCACTGCTCCATAAGTCAAACTTTTCTCTCACCTCAGCGAGTGAATGAGGTTGAACTCGGGCAGTTCGTGCAGGTGGAATATCCCGGAGGCGAACCCCGTGACCAGGATGTGAGTCGGCTTGTGGTAGGTGGCAGCGGTCAAGTTGTTAAAGTCGCCCTCTTTGTTGAAGAAATGTCTACAGGGGTTACATTTACAGATTAAATCCAACCAATGACGTCAGAGTGTGTATTAAGAAGCAGCTGAAGAAGAAGGGTCATTACTTGCTGATCTGCTTGTATCGGACGTTCTTGGTTTTCTCCTTCTCTTTGGCGGTTTTCACCTTCCCTCTGATCACCTCGCCCTCCTCTCCCTCCACCCTGCTTCCCTCCTCTTCCTCGTCCTCCTCTTCGTCCTCCGGCCTCGAGGGCTTCGGTTTGTCCTGGTTCTTCTTCAGGACCAGTCCGTCCGGCTCGGTGTCGCTCTCCCAGACGCACAGCGTCCCGTCCTGGCTCACCGTGTACAGCTGCACAAACACAACCAGCAGCGGTGAACTCACAAAAACTGGCTTTCACTTTCAGTCTAGTTTATGTGAACATTGAAGCGAACAACATGGACATGGACGAAGTGGTCATTTTGAGTTTCTATAGCTGTTCTTTTCTTTCTGTCTGCAGTTATTTGTGTCTCTAACGTTGTTTTATCTCAGTTTTTCAATGGTTTTGTGTCTCTTTGTGGTTGTTTTACGTCAGTTTGTGATCATTTTGCATCTCTTTGTGGTTCTTTGGTCTTTTTGGGGTCATTTTAGGTCACGTTTTTGTTGTTTTGTGTTGCTTTGTGAATGTTTTGTATCTATTTGAGTTTGTTTTGTGGCTCTTTATGATTGTTTTGTG